CGGGTATCAAAACCCGGTTTCTCGCGTTATAAGTACGCAGATCTACCACTGTGCCACCGGAGATCCACAGCCATAAGTTTATAACTTTAATATGAAATGTAAAATCATAATCGAAACTATGAACCTAACGTACATTTTAGAACCTTCTTAATTCTAAATCTAACTTTTAACTTATTCGCCCATTAACTATTATGACTCTTAACGGTTTTTTTTCAACTTTATGTTGAAATGTTTTATTAACATATATGTCAAACGTTAAGCATAATATTCTAAATTACTCTTTAAAACATAATTTTGTTTGATTTGATAAGTGACTTAATAGTCACGTGGGTAGAATATAAGGTATACCCCACGTGTTACTGGCTTTTTTATTTTAACCTTACCTTCTGTATTTGCACTTTGTTTATGATTTTATTCTTTCAGTGTCCTAGCTTCTTCCCCCTCCTTATTATTTTTTTATATTTTAATCTATACATTAGAGTATTTGTTTCTGAAAATATACGTATAAGCGTATGTTGTAAATGTATGACATCACCGTAGATATCACAGTTCATCTAGTGTAGAAATATTTATTCTATTTTTATGAAGTTTTTAGTGAATGTTTTTTATCCGTATGTGAGATGAAATGGAAACTCTTACGCGTTCTAACCAGTTTAATGTCTAATCATTCTGGCCTAAAAGTAATGTATGCGATATTTGGATAGAAAATATCACTTACAGTACTGTGCAAAAACGTTTGGACAAAGTTAAAAATTAGATTTCAGGCTACTTTCAAAGAATAATAAATAGAAGGAAAATGACAGGTGAAACATCAAAATTTTATTAATCTTCATATTTAGTACAACAGAAACTCAGCGGAAGTGCTTGAGTTCAGCAAACAGTTAATATTTTGTGTGTCCCCCTTTTGCTTTAATAACTGCAGACAGTCTTTCATGCGTTGTTACAACATATTTAATCAAAGTGTCCTTTGGTATTTTACTCCAAATATCTTTAATACACTCCCATAAAGTTTCTTTGGAAGTAACTTTTGACTTGTCAAGTTTTTGATCTATCAAATCCCAGATCTGCTCACTTGGGTTGAGATTGGGGCTCCGTGGTTCGCCAGTACATCATTTAAATGACTTCAGCAGAGTAATTTCTGCATAGGTTGGGTAAGTGTTTGAGGTCATTATATTCTTGGCAGTAGAATCCTTTACCAATAATACGCAAAGCACTGGGTATACCATGACGGATCAGTATATAATGGTACTTGCACTGGTCCATTATTCCATCTATTTTGGAAATATGTCTTGTCTCCTCAGCAGAAAAACACCCCCAAACCACCACACTGCCTCCCCCATGCTTCATGGTAGGCGCTATGCATTGAAGTAAGTATCTTTCACCTTTCTTAAGCCAGACGTACAACCTACGCTTTGAACTAAACATTTGAAACTTGGATTCATCCGTCCATAACACTCTTATCCAATCATCAGCAGTCCGGTTTTGTACTTTTTAGCAAATTTCAGTCTCTTGACAATATTTTGAGATCGAAATAAAGGTTTTTTAACTGCTACACGACCAAATATTCCATTCTCGTTGAGTCTTCTTGATACTGTACATCTGGACACTTTTCTGTTATTTGGTACATGGTCGTTTATCTCATGCTTGAGATCAGTGGTAGTCTTCCTTCTATCCTGAAGGCTGCATAAACGAATACTTAACATCAGTATCATTCAGTTTAGGTGTTCTGCCTCTTCCTTTCCTATTTGACTGTGTTTGCGGAGCATTTCAAGTCTGCAGCAATTTGTTGGAGAGTCCAACCAGCATCACGTAAAGCTTTTATGCGAACTCTCTGCTCTACTGACAATTCTCTACGCTTTTTTGGGCCGTGGCATGACAACAAAACTTAATATATAATGTTAAACACTGTTTTTTATCAAGGTTTATTTGTGTAGTGATATTAAATTGATTTCTTCTAGCATATACTAGTACCATATGCTAACTCCTTGGGAGTTTATTTTTATATAGCTAAGACACTGCATGGGGTACCATGACAGTTATTTTAGACTCTAAATTTGATCAGTATGTTCATTCAAGCAGAACCCTTATGACATGCCTTTGGTACAAGTATATGGCAATTCTAAAGAATGATATGTATTCTCACCCTGCCTCATTAACTTGTCACCAGGGATCAGTGAAGCATTACCATAGTGTTGAAAATTACATTCTGTAATGGCATGGAAGTATTAACCTCACAAAATGGAAAGAATGACAAAATATTCTCTTGTCCTAACTCTTTTGCACAGTACTGTATTTCAGGTACTAATACGTTCGTTAACATCTTCTTAACTAGTTCCACAGTTAGTTTAAGCTAATAAACTCTATGATAACAGATAAAGTTAAGTTTGAGCTTTGTTGATAGAGCCACAACCGTTCAAAAACTTCTGGTTCGTATAAGATCTTTCCTTATATTGTATTCCCTTCTCTACCATACACACTCAATTTAAAATTGTTGCTTATTTTCTACAGTTTCTTAAATCTTTTTATTGTGTGTGAAATTTAAGTTGTGTACGTAGTTTATTATTTGCTTGTTTTTCTCAGTTGTGGAATTCAATATTTGTTTTAATAAAACAACTTGATAAAGTGGAATCTTAGGAATTGTTTCGCTCTTGTGATTTCACAGTGTTTCTTAGTGTGAAATCACTGTTTTAATAAAACCATTTTTGGGAAAACATTTAACCTGAAAAAACAATAGTACATTTCAATAGTTCATTCTTTATACTGTAATTAAGTGAGAAAGTTTATGACACTTTGTTTTGATATTGTAAAAAAACGTAGGACTTAATGTCAGTTAAATCCCAAACAAATCTTAAACCGTGTATTGGAGTACTCAAATAATATCAAATATGCTTCACTTAAAAAATAAAATGATGAAATAATTTTATGTTTAACATATATATATAAGTTCAAGAGATCTGAGGATTAATATCTCTTGAAATTTCCTCTTAACACAGGAATGTTGACATATTTTACACACACACACCTGTACCGTTCACTTATGATTTGGATCTTACAAATGCATTGTATTGAGATTGAATGTTGACTTGTCTTACATACACGTATCTGTACCGTCCACTACCAGTAAGATCCAAATAATGCATTGTATTGAGATTGAATGTTGACTTGTCTTACATACACGTATCTGTACCGTCCACTACCAGTAAGATCCAAATAATACATTGTATCATGATCGAATGTTGACAATATCCATCATATTGAGAAATTTTATATTTTTGCTTTTAACAAAACTCATAATAGAGAAGTGACCACAAATTAGATAAAATTACTCATTTTCTACGTAAAATACACTGGTGAATCCTGCAGTAATTATTGGGATTAACTATAAAATACACTGGTGAATCCTGCAGTAATTATTGGGATTAACTATAAAATACACTGGTGAATCCTGCAGTAATTATTGGGATTAACTATAAAATACACTGGTGAATCCTGCAGTAATTATTGGGATTAACTATAATATTGATGGTATTTTTGTTCAATTATTTTGGTGTGAAGCATGTGTTATTAAGGATCCCGTAACAAAAGGAGTTTGAAGCATGTGTTATTAAGGATCCCGTAACAAAAGGAGTTTGATGCATGTGTTATTAAGGATCCCGTAACAAAAGGAGTTTGATGCATGTGTTATTAAGGATCCCGTAACAAAAGGAGTTTGATGCATGAATAGTTTATAAGGTATTTAAAAAGCTGGTGAGGCACATCGGTAATTTTAAGATTAAAACTGGAATGCTAAAATTGTTATAACATAATTAGAAAATTATTACGCTGTAAATAAGCCAAGGTGTCTTATGCTTTACTTATTTGTCGATATAGCTCCAAAATACAAGTTTATTCTTAAATAAACAATCTTCTTAGTGTTAATTACTTTAATATTCTAAGTTATATACATTAGTTTATCAGTTATAAATCTTGATTTAATTAAATAAATGAATTATATGGGTAATGTTTCTTAAATTCATTACAGTAAACGTTTATTAACATATTATAACAGATTGTGTTCTTTCAGCTGTATTTGCATTACCTCTTCAAACTTGAAAACTTACTTACCTATGAAGTTTATTTGAAGGGGTAATTCTCATCTATCGTCAAACTATTCAAACACTTCTGTTTTCTTTAGTTAATACCTTATGTATACTCATGTTTCAACTTAACTTATTTAAGTTTGTCTTTAGTACTCAATGTTTGTCACATAAAGGAGTAATGAAGTTGAACTGAAATTCTAGAATGAATGATCTCGAAATCGTAACTACGGAGTTGGTTGGTTGTTTCTTATAGAAGATGATAATTGAAAATAACATACTTTACATAATGCCTCCTGGTGGCTCATAGTTTTCTATTATTTAACCATCAGTGCAAATGTTGTTCTTGTTTTTCATTTCAATAAACAGTTAAAACAATTGTCAAGTAAATTATAAACTTCACATTTTATCAACAATATAGCTTTAAACAAGACAAAAGAAACAAATACAAGGAATGTGCCTTAAAAAGTATCAAACCCTATTTAGCTTATTAAGGCTGTAGATTGTTTTAAGTACATATGCTATAATAGTTTATCAGTATATGAGCCAAAAACAACAAGGGCAGATTTACACACAATCATTTAACACGGCTCTTGTAAACATAAACATCTCGACTGAAGTATTACAGAACGAAAATATATATCACTGCTGACGTTTAACTTAGGAGTTATTACACTTGTGACAGATAAAAACGGTGGAGAAGCAATGAAAATCCGTATAATAGCACACGACGACTCAGTAACGATTCGTTGACATTTCAGACGGCGGAAACGTTGTACTGTTGAAATTTGTATTTTGTTTTTCTTTGTTTTAACGCAACATTACACAAAGGGTTACCTGCGCTCTGCTCACCACGAAAATTAAACTCCGTAGTTTAGCATTTTAAGTCCACAAACTTGCAGCCGAATGCTATTGATAAATACCACAATACAGAGACCAAAACGTCGTTCCACACAAGAAACAACGCAGGAGAAGTTCAGTACACATTTATACAATACAGAGACCAAAACGTCGTTCCACACAAGAAACAACGCAGGAGAAGTTCAGTACACATTTATACAATACAGAGACCAAAACGTCGTTCCACAAAAGAAACAACACAAGAGGAGTTCAGTACACATTTATACATTAGCTGATTGTAACCTTGCTGGTTGTAACTTTGCGCACAACTCATTTTCTGCTGAAATATTTAAATATCTGTCAATAATTAATTTTTTCGGGTTTATTTCAAACTACAAATTAGATAAGATTTAAAACAGCTATTGTTATTTGATGGCTTTGACATTTTTGAAAAATTATAATACAATGATGGTAAATTTGAAACGACTTCTTTGTACATTCTTTCACATCTTTGATCTGGCTGAAAAACGCACACATTTTCTAAACTGAATTTAATATTTCATATAAATAAAATAATTAAGCTTTCTAATATCCTTTAGTTCCTAATCAGATATATGTACACTTCCCAACATTATATTATTTTCCGTACCATATGCACTATTTCATAACTGTTACGTATTTTTCATACTTTATAAAGCTTTTTTTTCTTCTAATTACATAGATAATTGCATTAAAAATAAACATTTAGATCCATCTTTTACTGATTTTTTGGGGGGGTTTAAACTTTCTTCTCCTCGCCAATAACGGCATTGGCTACTTCATTTAGCTGTGTAATTTTAACATCATTTTCTTCTTCTAGTGTGTGGTAGACATCTTGACTGCAGAGTAGCCATCTATAAGAAATATCAGAACTTGGTGGTATTGACTAATGATCCAGTCAGACATTCGAATTGTAACAAGTAGTCTTATCACTTGCTTTTAAACTGAGCATAAATCCTGAGACATATTTATAATTTTCGGGATTGTTAACGTTACCTAGCTATCTAAAAATTGCAAGTTATGTAAAGAGCAACATAGCAATATTCATGAGAGAGAAAATATCTCTCTCTCTCTATATATATATATATATTTATATATATATATATATAACAAAGATTAGATTCAGGTTTGGAAAACAAAATTTAAAACAAAGGAGCAAAATAAAGCATTCCTTCATTCCTCTGTTTATCATGACTATTGCTCTGTTCAGTTTGGTTTCATTTGGGTTGTTAAGCGCAAAACTACATAATGGGCTATCTGTGCTCTGCCCACCGCAAGTATTGAAACTCAATTTTTAGCGTGATAAACCCAGAGATTTACCTCTGAGCTATCGAGAAGAACTCTGTTCGGACATGTAGAGGAAGAATATTCTTAAATGGAATAACTTTAATAACTTTTCCCTAAAATCTTAGAATATACGGTATATAACTCTAAAACTGTTAAAACATTTTTTTTCAGATACAACAAGCGACTTTAAAATCAAACCTCAAGATATAAATCATTTAGAAACCGTTTACATTCATCGAGCGGAAACAAATAAAGGCATCGTGATAGTCTTATGTAAATGCGCATATTGTTGTTGATATTTTAAAAGAAAATAAATTATTAGTCATATGGACAACATCCAATAAAAATATAAACGATTTAGAAAATATTTTAATATCATGCATCTGAAAAATTAAAGATTTTTCTTAAATTCTTGATAATTTTTCCTAATTATGTGAGGCACTTTATAATAAATCACAGACTTTTCAGTTCGATATGGCTGAAATTTATATGAATTATAAAAATCCTTAATTAAATGAAACGTAACCTTATTTTGCATGTAATTTAATGTAAAGACATCATTTGAATGTAAATTAAGGACAGAAAAAGCTGAGCCATTGAGAGATAAGCGGATTTTACAACTGTGAAAATTACTATTCAAACAACAGCTTAAGCCTTGTTCAATAAAACAGTATCACTCTTTATATACTTTAAAACTTTAAACGTCTTAAAACACATTAGCTTATTGTTATACCATGTAACAACGAAAAAATAGGATTAAACATATATAAAAAGTATGAAGTAAATTGAATGGGCTGGAAACCGTTAGATGGTATGTATATATACATATATTTTTTACACATTCTACTACAAACAGCCATAACATAAAGGTTATTTGTTACACGAGATCGGTAATATCTGCATTCAACATTAATACTCACTGAAATGTAACAATGTGTGTACTTACATGAAAATGGTCAACGGTATAATTAATACTATAGCACAAACGAGATACGTGAGTCCTGGGTAGAACTCTAGCGAGTTGTTATAAACCTGTGACCATATAACTGTACCAAGTACGGGGATGGCAGACTCACACATTGCCATGAGTGAAAACACTTTACCTACAAAAAATACATATTTCATGGCAAATTAAATAAACAAAAAGGAAACCGTGATAGTCTGATATATTTGCATAAAATAGTTTAATCACTACAACTGTACACACTCTCTCTCTCACATATATAACACATAAAGAATTCCTGCAGCTTTCTTGCTTTAAGCTGCAGTAAGCCAAGTGTATAAAAAGACCCACACGATTATTTAAAGGCAGTAAAGGTATATGAGCACTGGTGAAATAAAAAAATAGATGCTATACACGTTTTATTTATTTTTACGGACAGCAATATTCAGAGTTAGATTGACTATAAGGCCCGGCATGGCCAGGTGGATAAGGCGCTCGACTCGCAATCTGAGGGTCGCGGGTTCGAATCCCCGTCCCACCAAACATGCTCGCCCTTTCAGCCGTGGGGGCGTTATAATGTGACGGTCAGTCCCACTATTCGTTGGTAAAAGAGTAGCCCAAGAGTTGGCGGTGGGTGGTGATGACTAGCTGCCTTCCCTCTAGTTTTACGCTGCTAAATTAGGGACGGCTAGCGCAGATAGCCCTCGTGTAGCTTTGCGCGAAATCCATAACAAACAAACAATCTATCATCTGTAATATCATAGTTTGT